GCAAAGTCTCCAGCCACACAGAACGGCTCTCAGAAGCCAGGAGCAGCTCTCCCCTGCTTTGGCTGCCCTGAGAGCAAGAAGCAAGAGCAAGAAGCATTTGGAAACCAGCAGCCCAGCTTCAACTCACAAGGTGCCCCAATGATCTGACTCAGCCATCAGCCTAGATTTGTCCACACCAGGGTGCAGCTTTTGGGAGACCTTGCCCTTAGCTTGTCACCCAACGGAGATCTACACAAGTCCAAAAGACATAAGATCACCAAATGCTCCCCAAAGCAGGCAGCCAGCCTCAGCTGACAAGGACAGGGTGAGCAGTTGGGTACTGCCCAAAGCAGGAGACATTCCTGCTCCCTCCAGACCTACATCTCCCCTCCTCAGCAGCCCCCACGGCACTAATTCTGCAGCCAGCAAAGCAGCCATCCGCCAAAATACCCAGCACATGACTAGCAGATGCCCTATGCTCCCTGCCAACCCAGAGGGGATAATTATTGACTTGCGGCACAGCTGGAGGAAGGGGGGGAGAGGAAGAAAGCAGAGGGGCTTTCACAATGAAAAGAGATTTGCTTTTAGAACACTTAGAGGGGAAAAAAAAAAAAATAAATCATTCTTTAGAAGCAAAATCAGAAGGGGAGAAAGCACCAGTGCTGCCCCAGGCAGTGAGGGAACAAAAACATGATTTCCCAGCCCAGAGTCAGCAAATGATGGGGAAATTCCTGCAAAGCCTAAGCCTGTAGATTCCTCCTGCTGCTCCTCACGCCCTACCCTGCAGCTGCTCAGCCCTGGCCTCGCTGTGCTCACCAAACAGCCCAGCTGAACATGGGCTGCCAGCATTCCTCCCCAAGCAGGAGCTGCAAGGTCCCCAGGTCCTTCCAAGGAGAAGCGAGCACCACATGTTTGTGCACCCATAGGAATGACCCACTTAGCACAAAGAGTTTATTTGTTTGGGGTTGTGTTTTTTTTTGTTGTTGTTATTATTGTTAAAGCAGAGAAGCCAAAGAAACCAGACACGGGGCCAGTTCAGCTGTGCTGTTTGTGGGAGAGGATAAACATGGTGCAGAGAGCACGAGCTGCAGGGGGGGAGCAAATTCCCAGCAGGGATGTGCCCTGATGCGTTAGCACCCAAGGCCATCTGCTTTCAGGACAGGGAAGGAGCTAAAGAGATTACAGCGGCAACCAGGGCAGCTACAGACAGACAAAGAGATCCTCCAAAAACGAATGCTCAGCTGGCAGCAAAGGGCACTCAGCCTGACGCAGTGCTCGCACGGCTGTGCTCACCTTCAGACCTGCAGAAGCACAACCAGAGCAGCCCAGGCAAAGCTGAAGCAGTGGCAAAGGCTGGTGATTTCCAGGCACAAGGCAGATGCCAGGAAAGCAATCTTTGCTGCTCTTGCTGAGATTTCCTCTAGAAGTCCCCACGCAATGTGCTCCAGGTTCATGTCCCTGTGTCACTTCCCCATCCGGCACACCACAGGGCACAAGGACGGGTCCGTGACGCGCCCACACAACGAGCTCCAGCGTGGAGAGGAAGTGGCTCACATCCAACACCAGCAGCATGGCCAGAGTCATCCCCACGTTACTCATCCTGGCAGCGGCAGAAATTCCCCAAACAACACAACCCCATGACTGCTGGCGGAGGGCAGCGAGCACGAGGACTGAGGGCTTTCCAAGCCTGGTCTCTCCGCATAACTCAGCACCATCCAAAGATAACCACAGGCCTGCTCGCCTGGTGGTACACGAGCACAGAGCGGGCAGCCACAGGGCTGCAATTCACTCAGCACCATGGCAGTCCCGTGCCTTATCCTCCTTGATGCCCCTCTGCCCCAGCCCAACCCCGTCCTGTTGCCACCCTACAGCAATTCATTCCCAGTTCTGCAAACATTCTTTGATTCTGATGGTGCTCACATCACTTTTTCCCCCAAATCCCATTCTCCAGATTGCTCCAACTGCAACCCAGACCCCAACACCACAATCCCATGCACAGTGCTGCCCTGGAAAGCCAGTTCCCCATTTAACAAGATGGTTTCAGCCAGCCCAGGGATAGAAGGACGTGGAACAGAGGTGTCTGGAGGCAAAGGGCAGGGCAGGCTCCAGCTGTGATGGTGGCAGGTGCTGCCCTGCAGCCTCACAGCCGTCGCAGGGAAGCCAGGCTTGCGTGGCTTTTTCAGGGGACAAAGGAAGGCTCTGTCTGCATGCAACAGCCTGGACAAATGCTGGCCATGGAAGCTGCCATCCAAGGAAAATCCAGACACAGCAGTGACTCTGCCCTGACCTTACCCCAGCCCAGATGGCACCATCAGTGTCCCCTTGTCTGACTGGCATGCACTGCAGCATTCTTGGGGATGGGGAGCACAAAGTGCCCGTCTGCACTGTGTTGCAGCTCTCAGTACATTGCTGCGTTTTTGTAGGGTCTAAAACAAATCCTATGGATGTAAAGGGACACAGCAGACACTTCTCTGTAAAGGCATCAGGGCCGGCAGGAGACAGGAAAAGAAATGCTCAAGGTACACAAAGCCAAAACACAGTGCTTCCTATGGGAACAGAGGAAAAGAGCAAGAGGCTGCAAGCAGAGGGATGCCCACCACTGCCAGGAGATGGGCAGGAGGCTGAAGGATCCCACCCCGTCCTGGGACCGCAGCACTGGCCCTGAACTGCCACGCCGTATGCTGCCATCCCAGCACCCAAAAACAACAATTTGTGCACCCTGCTGAGCGCCCCATCCCCTGGCTGAGGACACATCAGTACCATTCAGGGAGGCGCTTACAGCCACCCCTCACTGCGGCCCCGCAGACAGCCAGGCAGCGGGATCAGGTAGCTGCTGAGGCAGCGCTTTGCAAGCCTGCCTTGCAAAAAGGCTGGGCCATGGAGCCCAAGGTCACAGTCGAGGACAGCTCAGGTCCCCCAGGTCTCAGCATGATGCTCAGTGCCCACAGAGAGTTTCTAGGCTGTAGGGTAGAGGTCAGACAGGGAACTGTTAACCCTCACACCAGTGTCAGCATCTGTCAGGGATAAAAACCTGCCTGGAGTCCTTCTGTTGGGACAGGACAGACATCCACCTCTTCATGCCCCATTGAGCTTCTGCTCCTTTACTTCAAGGCCCCGCAGACCTATCCAGCTCTCTGGGACCAGTGAACAATAGCACACAACGGTGATGGGCAGAAACCAGCAAAAACAGAGAAGCTCTGCAGAAGAGAAAGCTGCTCAAACTACACCTGGGCTCTGAGTCCTGGTCTCAGCCTTGACTTTCCAGCCAAAGCGAACACACAGCCAGCACCTGGCCTGGCACCCACCTTTGACAGTCACACGGAAGTGGCTCTGACAGCACAAGGGTCAGGGAAAAACTGAAAAGTAGAAAAAAAAATGGAGGGAAGGAAGAAACAAATCTTCCACGTAAAAAGCAACTGCCATCCTCTCTAGATAAATAAGGGACAGAAGGTGCCATGCGTCCCAGTGGCTTTGTGAACCCTCCTCCCACACTCTCCTTCCTTCCATCCCTATCCCTTACGTTGGCACAGGCTATTTAAAACCTCCCGCTGGGAGCTCAGCAGCAGGAGAAGCCGCCAGCAACGCGACGCCGGTCCCTGCAGGCCCCAAATCGATCAGGAAGGGAGGACGAGCTGCCTCCGTCAGCTCCCTGCAGCCTGGCGCCGACACCACAGGAAGGGAGGAGAAGTAGCCCAGCAGGGCACACAGAGAGCATCACCAAACCCCAAACCCAACTCATCTTTTGTTCCAAATCCCAGCCTACTGAGGTCCACGAGGCCAAGCTCTGGCTCCTGACCTGTGTTCTCCTCTCCAGTGGTCTCAGGAGATGTACGGGAAGGTTTTGTTTTAAACAGCATGGATAAGGAAAAGTAGATCAAATGTAGGGACAGCCCCAGGAAGGGAGCTGGGGCTCCTCAGCCAAGTCCTGCTCCTCCTGGCTCTCGCCAGGACCATGCCAGGACCTTTGCTATGCCTCTGCCTGGCTGAGGACGCTGTTAACGCAAGCGATGTTTATACAGGGCATGAATGGCTGTAATTATAGGAACGATGTTATGATAACAGGAAATCCGTGCCCTGTGGAGATACAGACAGAGAAATACACACTCACAGCTATTTGCTAATTGCCACCAACAAGGAGCCTTTGTGCAGTGGTGGGGCACAGGAGGTCTCCCCCATGCTGGGAGATAGCATGGTGCCGCCAGGCTGGATCACTACAGCGCCCAAGGGCTCTCTCCTGCCAAGGGAACATCTCAGACCAGTATGGCTCCCACATACACCACAGCATAAAACCTAAAGCACACTACTGCCAGTACAGGCAGAATACAGAGCCAGCCTTCCCACCCCACCATCTCCCGAAAAATGCACCCATCCCTGCAAGGCAGGGCACCTCACACTGACTCAGACAAAGGAGGTGTGAGAATATCAAATCAGGCTAGAGAAATCCCCACTGCAGCAGTAAGGACATAGCTCATCACCCCCTTGGTGAAGGACACCTCCAAAGCTGGGGCAGAAACCTCAACTCAGACCCTACTTCCTTTACTTCAACCCGATTCAAGATGCGAGAACAACAGTTATGGCAACTCTGAGCCCACGAAGAACCAAGAGAAACTCCGTCCTGCCCACTTCAGACAAAACAGTGCTGCCAACCCAGCTAGATATTTCTCTCAGCAGCAACAGAGATGCCAACAACCACCTCTGCTGGCCCGTCCCAGGTCAGGGGCAAAGCAATATGGACCTAGTCCCACAACAGCTACAGTGCAAATCAACAGCTCTGAGAAACAACAGGACAGGCTGACTCAGTACCAGGACACAATCTCTCAGTTACAGCCCTCCCAAAAGACACAGGTTCAGTACATCTGATTGGCAGAGAGGAGCAATGGGGATGCACGTTACCCAAACACACCAAGGCTGATGCTATGACAGAGGCACACTCCACCCTGCACCAAAGGGCCACCAAACCAAGCAGACATCTCCCCATCAGCATGGAAGCATCCCTCATAATGCTGCTGCAGCTCTCCTACCTTTTTGATCTTCCCACTCCGTGTGCCCGCAAACACAACAGTTTGTCCTCTGTAGTCATAGGCAGCCACCGAGGTCATCCCATCCTCTTTATCCACAAAAAGTGGGGTCCCCTCGATCGTGACGGTTCCACCAAGTGGCTGGTTAAAATCCTGGCCACAGAAGTTGTCATCGATCTGCAGCGGCTGTAGGAAGAGAATAGAAGAGAGATGAGTTTTCTGGAGTGTCAGAGAGCAACAAGGGCTCACACTGACCTCCATCCCCATGGGAGGATGGAGCAGGGGCTGTGGAGACAGCTCCCAGCCCAGCCATCCCAGACATTCTGGCAGGCTGCAGTCCCATCTCTGTAACCCCAGGAACAACATGGGCTAGGACACAGCTCAGCTGCCCCCATCTCAATCTAGCATGGGGATGCTCCTCACCCACACTCAGCTGGTTGTTTTGCTGCATCACTCTACCTGTACACCCACAGGAGATCTCTGCCATTGCTCCTCACCTCTGTGTTCCCCTTTTGCCCCTCTGTGCCCCAGAAGGTTATGATGCACAGAGGGGGCACAGCTCTGACGCTGCAATGCGCTCATCCTTCTCCTGGCAGATGTGGCTTCGATCCTGTGCTGGTTGGCATTAGGGTGAATGACAAAATCACAGCTAATGGCAAACAGACCTCAGAATGAAACGCATTCCCTTGTTTCCATGACCAAAGCAGGACACGAAGGAGGAAGAATGGGCTCTGGCCAAATTCTGGGCAGCCACAGCGAGCCTCAGTGCACAGGGCTGGAAGAGAGGCATCCGGAGGCACAGTGCCTGGAGAGGCAGGCAGCCTGCTCAGGCCACAGCATTTTCCACTTCAAGAGGCTCTTTACGTAACTTTGAATTTAAAGGGGAGAGGTTTTTGGCAAGCAACTGCCTCCAAATGCATGCCAGTCCCCAAGGGACTTTAAATCTATACAGCATGTGCATGTAACATATGGGAAAATGCCGTGCTCCCAAGCTCCATGTGCATACACGCATTAAGCAGCTCTGGCTGCTGAAAGCAACAGCCCCGCCACTTCCACTCAGCACTGAGATCTGAGCAGGGAGAACTACAGCCCCAAAACTGGAGGCCCTGACCATCCCACACCCTAAAAAAAACTCTCAGAAAAGCTGGACCTTTCCCGGGCTGTCAAACGCAGACGTGGTCACCCCACCCAGGCTCACTGTACAGCCCCGAGGCCAGCAGTCCCACTCCTGGCTGCAGTAAGCATTGTGCCATCCTTTTAGCAGCAGAGAAATCGGAATGACTCCAGCTGGGCACACTCAGCCTCCTAAAGCAGCCTGGAGATGCAGTCTTGCTTGCTCACTTCTTCATTGTTCTGGTGCCTGGTTTAAGATGTAGGCACAGATTGACTCCTTTCCATGCCTGACCCCTTTTTTCATCCTTCTGTAAACTGGAGGAGCTTGGGGACATCCAAGCATGCAAGAAGCACCAATCCCCTAAAACAGGAACTAGGAGGTGAAGGATGTCTGCTGGTGTGAAGAAGTAGGGAGGGGAATTAGCTCTCCAGCCTGCACTCTGCATTCCAGGGCTGCAAGCATCCCTTCAGCCCATCAGCCAGCCCAGAGCTGCTCAGACAGACCTGAGCAAATCTGCAGCATGCACTTATGGCAGGTACAGCACCCACCTCTGCCTGGCACCACCTCAAGCAGGGCAGCAGCATAGGGGTTAACACAGCCTGAGCCCTGAGCAGCCCTGAGCACCAACCATGAAGGTATTTAAGCCCTGGCAGCCCCTGGAAGCCAATGCAATTTCTGTTCTCTCTGCACTTCAATTTGCAGCTTCCCCAACCTCATCAGCTGCTGAATATGCAAGAGGATAAATGTTTATGGTGTTTACTCCTCTCTGCTTTGTCTCAACAAACTCTCTGGGAAACGACAAATACAGCTGCACTCCAGGGCCGTGAGGAGCACCCGCCCGCCACTGAGATGCCGACACCACCTCGGTAAATAATTACACCGACAATTAGCTCATTAACAGCACAGTGCCTCGTTAGGGAAGTGCAGGCAAGCACCTCACCACCGCCGGGCTGAGTGGGCAGCACGAGGCTGGTGGCACTTACCAGCATCACATCCCGACTGCCTCACAGCCCTGCTACATGGCACAACCTGCTCAACCCCACTGGTATAGAAATTGGGGCAGAAAACCCTGATTTCCTCTGTGAAGCAGCCACAAGGAGAGGGGACACACCGAGCTAACAGAGCTGGCCTGGAACAGGCAGTCTCCTTGACGCGCCTTGTCTCATTGCCTCCCTTCAAGCCCACTTACAAAAGCAACGAGGGAGCAGACGGCAGAGGCGAGACTCGTGCCACTTAGCACTATTAATTGGCCAGTAATTTGCCAGTTAATACCATTATACACATACCCCGTCCTCCCACGGCTGCCTTCCTGTGCCTGCTGAGGCTGCTACCCAGCAAGGCCCATGCCCAGCACACAGGGAGGCACGGTGACACCAGGAGCCAGGCAGGGCACTTTGGGAGCTGGGTACCAACAATGGGAAGCAACAGTGCGCATCCCATCTGGAGCAGCAAAACCCCTGGAAGCGCTTTCAGTTCCCAAGCTCGCCGCCAAGCCTGGCAGTATCTTCTGGCTCCAGCAAATCTGCACTGTCCCACAGTGCCCAGGGATTAGCATCCTAAGGCTCATAGCTGAGGAGAATGCTGCACCAGGGTCTGGAGTAAAAAGGAAGCCAGCACCCAGGTCAGGAAGCCTCCTTGCCCAGCTCGGTGCTCAGAGCCATGCCCCATGTGGTGTCGGCACAGCTCTCCCCAGCCTTCCTCCTCCACCCAGCACAGTGCATGTGACCAGTCCTCAGCAATGTATGTGGATCAGTCCTCAGGGATGTGGCTTTCTGGCACTGAGAAGTCCCTCTGATGTGCTAAGAAATGAGATTTGGACTTTCCACCTTCCAGAGGAGACTTTAAACCATAAATCCTGAGCAAGAGCAAGGGAGCTCCTGGGACATTTTCCATACAGATCAGGCGTAAATCCCAAGCAAACTACTGACTTTAGCAATTACATTCTGCCTCCTTAAAAAAAATCAACATGCCCCTTATTTTCTGGCTGGCATCCATCACTGCGAGATCTGTCAGCTGCCACAACCCACCCTAGAGGTGGCTGCATTTTACGAGGGGCACACAGATCCCTGCCAGGAAGAGGTTACATGCTCTGCAAGCCTCAATTTGGCTCACTCCCAGTACAGCCAGAGGCTGAGGCTCAACACCTTGTGCTGCTCTTTGCCATGCTTGGCAGGTGGAGCAAGACAGGGACAGAAAATGGCACCTGACTCCCAAGGCCGGCTTTGTGCCACCACAACCCAGCTCACGTGAAAGCAATGACACCGCAGGTCCTCCCGGTGCCACCACCCCACACCTGCTGTCCCTGCTAGGGTTCCTCTGGAGCTGGGCAGGTCTGAGCACTGCAGTGCTGCTGCTGCTGCCTCTGCATCACCAAGGGAGCAGGTAGCAGCGCACAGCAGTATCACTCCTTCAGATGGAAAAGGAAGAATAAACACAGCATCAGGTCTATGGCTAAGAAACCATGCTATGAAACAGCAGGGAAAAAAATAATAAATCACAGCATGTGCAACTGCACAGGACTTTCCTCCTGCACTGCAACCAGGGGACACCTCCCTGTTCCCATTCTCATCCAGGTGTCAAACCAGCCATCATTTCTCTCCCTCTCCCACCACGTTTTCCTGCAACAGCAGCTTTCCTGAGATGCATGAAGAAGCCCCTGTGCACCCACCAGTGCCTGTAAACTGCCTGCAGCAGAGACATCACGGCCCTGCAGGGATACAGCCTCCCCACCTTTATAAGGGGCACTCATCAGGCAAAGCCTCTCCCCACAAAGGGGCAGAGGGTCTGGGAGCACATCGGGATGAAGCAGCAGGCATCTCCTCTGCCTGAGCCAGCAGCTGCGCAACTCAACAAGCAGCAGTGTAACGATTTCATCATTTTCCACCAAAATTGAATTAGTTCAAAGCCAAAATCTGATTTGAGAGCCCAGCGCTCTTGACAGCAAACCCTTTACTTTGTCAGGCAGCTGTTAGCCGTCTCCTTCAGAGCTGCAGGGAGAACAAGGGAAGGAGGCCGGGCTACTCCATGGGGACATGCAGGCACCCGGGGCAGGAGGCAGCTGCTGATCCCCAAGACCTGGGATAGAACGGGGGAAGGAGCACAATGATGTCCCTCCCCTCCTGCCTCCTCCAGTATGGAAAACAAACCCAGCAACTGCAATTGCTCCTTGTTCCTCATACCCCTTCTCCTTCTACCCAGCACACCATAGAGAGGACATGGTCCCACCAAGCTGAGCATCCGACCAATCTGTATTGGGATTGACAACCTCTCTGCCTCCTTCCCTACTTAGATCCCTCTCAACTGCCCTCATTCTCCTGCCCCAGCAACTTCTGCTCAGCCACAGCTCCACTAAGCCCCACAAGACCAAATCCTCCCAAATTCACACATGCCATCTTCAAGGGTCTCCCTGGCGGAGATGCAGCAGACACCATTTGTCCTTCTGAGGGCTGAGCATCTTTGCCCTCAAAACCAGCTCACTCACATCCCTTTACTCTACAGGGAACAAGAGACCTGTGCCAGCAGTCAGCCTCCCGCTCAGGGCCAGCAGCTATCAGCAGACACTGATTCAACCCAAACCCAGACAGCCTTCCCACACCAAAGCCACAGTCTCCACAAGGAATGCTACCAAGCAAGCTGAGCGCTCAGCCCTAACTGTGCCAGTCCCCAGAGCAAGAGAGGCCTCCCATCAGGAAAACAACAAGTTAGGTCAGGTAACTGGGAAGGGTCTAGAGAGTCCAGCCAGGAGCCAAAATCCACCTGGCATGCATACAGATAGGCGTGAACTTACCGAGTTGATGCAGCCCAGCTCCTTATTCAAGAGCCAGGGCAACGAGAGTTTCCCTTCCCCTCTGTAGCATGACTGAATACGTTCCTTGATCTTATCCTTGATCTTCTTCAACGTGAAGAGGCAGAGCACAGACTCCTTGGGAGGCTTAACTCTGTTTTTCTGGCCCTGGGAGAAGATGGTGAAGAGGATATCCTCCTGCTCTGAGATGCCCAGGTACTTGGCCAAAGCCTTGCCGGGCTTGGTCAGGTAAGCGTCCTGGATCAGGCGGTACTCAATGCCATCCTGCACACAGCCGATGGGGAACTCCACGTAGGAGTAGAACTTGGGGTCATCCACGCAGAGGCGGACGATCTTGGAGGTGAAAAACTGCTCACCAGTGGAATCGGGTGAGGTGAGCTGGGTGTCCAGCTGCAAGGTCAGGTAGTACACAAACTGCTCACTGCTGAAGCTGTAGATGTAGTAGATGTCAAAGGTGGGGAACTTGGAGAGCGTGTCTGAGGGGATCTTAAGCTGGGACGAGACAAACTCGTCCTGGTAGACAAAGCCAAACATCTCCGCATTCTCCTCATTGGCCATCAGCTTGCGGCTGGAGAGCGTGGGGAAGTACTCCGACTTGCCATCGATGGGCGTCCCGATGAAGAGCTTGTTCTGCCCATTTAGCACCTCAATGATGACCCCAGACATGGTCCCCGACTCATTGACACTGGAGAGGTAGTGCTCCTTGCGGTGGTGGGGCTCACCCAACTTGAAGAGGTCATCCAGCCGCAGGAACTGGCAGATACCCTGCGAGGCACTGCCGCAGGCGATCAGCCGGTTCCCCGAATAGTCCACCAGCAGCAGCTTGTTCACGTTGTTGGTGGTGACCAGACCGTGCGGGCAGGACTGAACGCTGGGCGGAGGGTAACACTTCTCATTGTCCTCCACTGGCCCCGTCACGTGCGTCCGCAGGAGCGTGAGGTTATTGGAGAGCTTGTAGATCCGATTGACGGCCCCCACGTAGACCTCCCCGGTTTTGTTATGGACCACCAGGTGCGTCAAGCTCCAGTCTGTCACCGAGAAAGTCCTAAAGGGAGATTTGGGGCTGCCTTCCGCCAGCGGTAGCCAGGTGCTTCCCAAGAGCAGCAGGGTCCAAATGTTGACAGACAAGTGGTGCTTGAGCCAAAGGAGCCGCATCGCGGCAGTGTCACATCCGGCCAAGGCCATGCCCAAACCCAGCCACAAAATAAATAGAAACAAATCCAAACTAAAGGGGTGAGGAGGAAGGACGAGGAGCTAACGGGACACAGTCTCCTCTGCTTCTGCTGTGCTCAGCATTCAGGGCATCATGGGCACTGCCGGTCTGGTCAACCCTAGAGGGAGAAAGAAAAACAGCAGGGTTAGGAGGCTTTCCTCCAGCTCCTGGCACAGCAGTAAGCTTGTTCCACATCACCCCACAGAGGCTTTGCTGCTTCATGCTTATAAGGCAGCATAACAAAATGCCCCCACTGCCTCCCACTCCAGAAGAAAATCTGCACAGGGACAGAGAGAACCCACAGGATGCTAATGGCCTCTCCTCCCTGTAGTACACACATGCTGCTAGACACCATGAATTCTACACCATGAGCAGCCAAGGTGGAGACGCAAAGGGCCTCAAATTCAAGCCCTGCTACCCAGAGCAGCCCCCTGCAAGGCCCTGCTCTCCTCCATGGAGTCCCTCAGCAGGAGCAAGCAGCAGCACAACCACAGCTGTGGCTGGGCCAGGCCAGCACATCCCAAACAGGCAGTGGCTTTGCGATGCGCTCCAGCACACCAACCACATACAAATGTCCCAGCAGGGCATCGCTGGCCCTGACCTGCTTTGAAGACCACCGACAGCACCAAAGTATCAGCCACTAGCAAACAGACAGCCCACAGCCTCTGCACCACTCCATCATAGAATGGGGAGCTGGTACAAAAACCCAGTTTGCTCCCAGCTCATAAGCATAAAAGGATCCCAATCCCACTGCCGTGCTGTGGGCATCCCTCTGAGCTCAGCCAAGAGAGGCACTTCCAGCCTCATACCATAACCCAGTTACCCTCAGCTTAATTGGAGATCTGCACGCTGGTCATTAAGAGGATGCTGCTTTTACAAAGAGGCAAAGGAAGTAGGGAGGGGGGGCGGGGGGGAAGAGATGGGAGGACAAAAAAAAAGCACACTTTTGTGAATGAAGGAAGATGCAAACCGCACCAATTTACTACTCAAACAGCGCATGACGGAGCCTGCAGGAGCTGGGGCTTGAGCCCGGGTTTGGTGTGCGAGGCACAGCTCAAGCAAAGGATCTCAAAGTCTCCTTTTAAAGGAGCTGGGGGAGCCCTGGCACACTGCCTGACAGCCCTGGCACCTGACAAAGCCCAGGAGGCTGCGGGCAGGAGACGCTTCAAAATGCAGAAGGTCCGTGGCTGGGAAGCGAACTCAACCCTTTGTTTCCCATCCCAGTTTTGCAGATAAGATGTTACGAAAGCAAACGAGGAAGAGCCTCCCTCTCCTTATCACCAATCTCTGACTCAGCCCATGTGGGGATCACCCGCTCCCGGCCCAGCACAACAAGCAGGATCCCAGCAGGGAGTGGCACCTGTAAGAAATATGGCCTGTGGTGACTGCTGGGCTGTGCCAGCAGCCGTGCCATCAGAGGGCAGCTGGTGTCATGCCAGCAGCACAGGGCTGCACTCCTTGGCAGTGCACACGGACACTTGGGGCACCTCCTGCACACCTCTTCCAAACACGGACCTTTATGGTGTGCCCAGCTCCAAAAGCTCTGTCCCAGCAGCTCCCAGTCCCTACCACCTCCCCACCAGACCCCAGGGCAGTATCCTCGAAAGAGGCTTCTGCAGTAAGGCTTGAGCAACACAGGCTGAGACGAGCACTGACGGTGTAGGGCCATCAGCCCTGGAAATGGACCAGGTGGTCCCAATCCCACATCCCTGCCATACTGCAAAATACAAGCACCTCAGACCAGGCTCTGCCAGTCCCTATCGGCACAGCCTGTGGGTTCAACCAGGAGACCGTGTGGTTTCCTCTTGGGCTGCGGGTTGCAAGATGAAGGTTCCTGCCATCGGAAATGGGGAGGCAACCCTTACAAAGCAGACAATGCCAGCTTCACTAGGCACCCACGTCTTTACCTTCTCCTCCAAGCAAAGGAACTCGCTGAGCACGGCGACACACTGACCACGCATCCACTCCCACTGCTGCAATGCCCAGCAGCACTCTCCTTCCAGCCTCCATACACCGCAGTTACACAGCTCCTCTTGCACAAAGGCAGCGATGCAGCGGCAGCAGAGGGACGGGGAGCTGGGAGCGATAGGAGGCACATGTGACCCAAACCAAACACAAACCCCAGCACGAGCACGGCTCTATCTACACAGCATGGGGAGAGGAACAATACCACAGCTGTGTCGCAAGGAGATTACCATCGAAACGCAACCTGGCTTACGCACCAGCAGCACGTGGAGGGGAAGGAGAGAAAGCGGGAGTGTGGCTGCAGCAGGGGGACACCAAACCCAGCACGGCACTGCTGGGACAGGGCGGTCATTTGCTCAGCGCATTTCTAATTATTCATCGCTTCTATTCTAGGGAGCGGGGATGAGAGCCAGAGGTCAGGCTGCTGTGCCAAAGCAGGGCTAGAAAGCCCAAAAGGAGATTCCCAAATTAATTTAGGGAACTGTTACTCAGAATTGGAACGAGAGCAAAGCCAAGCAGCGCTGGGGCACAGACAGATGACAGTCTGCAGAGCTCCTCAGAGACTTCTGCTCCCAAATACACGTCAGCAGCAACACCTCGTCCCAGTGCCCTGACACCAGCAGGGGCTTGGTACAGTAAGGCCTGCTTTAAGACATCAGCAGTGATTATAATTAACAGAAAAAGAGCGGGAAAGATTAGCGAGTCTGTTTTCTTCAGTATGAAATGATTCGGGTTCCCAATAGCACCTTGCAACAGGGATCCCAACAGGGAGCAAGATTGTGCACTCCAAGCACAGCCCCAAAGTATGTGCACCCCCAGACTGGGCGAGCACGCTCTGGGGAAGCAATCATCACTCTTGATAACACAAAGCAGGAGTGCCGAGCTGGAAAAACAAACCTTAAAAGGCAAAGACTGGACAGAGCATCCCCTGCTGCCCCCAGCGCTCATGCTGCACGCCCGGGTGTCCCGGGCAGGGCTGCAGCACCACATTGAGAAAAGAATCTGTTTTCTTGCTCTGGGACTGCCCCAACAGCTCTACGGCCTGGCAGGAGTGCTTTGAAATATAGGTTGAGTGAGAAAAGTTGTGGAAATGAAAACCCTTCTAGCTGACCCCGGGAAGGACAGGAGCAATGAGAACTAATGGGTCTTTATCTGCAATCTCTGCGAGTCACTCGCTGCTCTCAGCAATAGTGCACGGGCTGAGCAGGTCCCGGCTCCATCTTTAAACACACGAGCTGCTGCCTCGCTGCCAGTAATTAGCCAAAGGGAGAGAGGAGAGATTATACAGAGGAGAGAAAAGCCCGCAGGCCACAGGAGAGCCAGTCTCACAATGCAGCGGGTGTATTTTTAGGTTCGTCTGCCTGGGAAAAGCCTTGCAACAATAAGAGAAGGCTGCTGGAGTTACCCAGTTAGGAGTTGCACTATATATGCAATCTGTAGCAAGGCCAAGATTTAACTCCTTTTTCCACCGCACACAGCCGTTAGGAACGATTTTGCTGGGATCCCTCCCTCCTCCCCAGCAAGTACAATCATTGCAAACCTTATCCCTGGCTGGAGCCAAGCCCTGATGAAATCAGTGGCAAGCACTGTATCTGCCCCCTCCAACCTCAATCACAGCATCAGGAATCTCTCCTGTCTTCAGAGCTCTCATTATTCCCCAGGGCACAGGCCAGAGCTGCATCCTGCCCCACACCACCACAACCCCAAGGATTTTGACCTCTTATATCTCAAGGCGATGAGAGTGCTTCTCAGGAGGAAGTGCAGTACAACCCCTGCAGCTCCTGCAGCCACAGGGCCAATACAATGACACGAAGACCACCTAACAACATTTTGTCCCCAGCTTCAAAGCACACAAGTCCAGACCAAGCCCCCAAAGGACTCCTTCCACCTTGGTTGCTATGTTCCAGACTGTAGTTCTCACTGCAAACATCACAAAACCAACCCCACTGGCAGAAGTCACCTCAGCCCATCACAGCAGCAAACCAGGAGCTCAGCCACAAGCCAGCTCTAAGCAGAAGTCCTCTTACCACCAATATCACTCCATTGTCCAACCCACCACCATTGTCCTAACACAAGGGCAGAGCGGATGCACCAGGAAGCTCCCAGTCTCCATCAGTGAATGAGAACAGGAGGACTTCTTTGCTCCCAGCACAAGGAGGTAGCACCAGAGCTGCTATAACCCAGCACAAAACCAGGCTGAGCTGAAATTCCCATTCTTCCACCTAATCCCATTGCCGACCACAATCACCATCTCAAGGCACACACTGCTCATAGTTAAGACTGAATAAAGTAGCCAGGGGACAACAAAACATCTCCACTTCTCCAGAAGAGGCTTCCCCAGCCAAAGCCTAAGCTGCACCCAACTCTCCTTTCCCCTACAAGACCCCACACCACACTGCAGGGCTGTGGGCTCAGCACAGCCCCACTGCTCGCCCTGGGCGGAGCTGAATCACGAGCAGCCCAAGAGCTGGCGGAGCTGCGAGACAGGGAGAGGGGAAGCGAGCAGTGCCTGAAAGCGCTCCAACAGCAACAACACAAAGAAGGGAAACTCTGCTTTGAGAGGCTAACAGAGGTTTCATTTGCACGCAGGACAGGCTGGGAGCATCCAATGAAAACAGCGAAGCACACGCATGCACAAAGCCAGAGGCTGCACCCGCACCCCGCTCCCAGGGCCAGCACACCAGCATGTTCCAGGGGTTCACCCAGCCAACGTGGGCAAAGCCTGCTGGGGAGCATAGATGCAGCATGCCTGAGGGACACCAGCCAGGATGGAGTGCTGAGAAATGGGAGGACACGTGCGCTCCTGCTGCCAAAACCCCACTCCCTGCTAACGAGAGCGGCTGGACGGTGGCCCCAACGGGTGACGTCAGCCTGCGGAGGGCAGGGAGCCGCGTGGCTCCGCGGCATGGCATGCAGTGCCGAAAGCATGGGGCTGGGGGAACCAAGGCAGTGCTCACCCACGAGGCTGTGCCACCAGGAGCCGACCCAGCGTGCCACGGGCACTGCCAACATGCAGGTGGCAGCGGGTGAGGACTGGTGGCAACATAAGCCTGAGTTGCCTGAGCCTTACCAGGCTTGCTGACCCGCAGAAGCTCTCCCTTGGAGGCTGATCTCTCGCCTGCCTTCCTGCCTTTCTCCTCCCCCATTTCTTCCTGATGACATCAGCTTGAAAAACAGGTTCTGAATTCTCGCTGTCCTCTGGAGGGGCAAACCCCCCCCCCCCTCCACGCACCCTGACACCGCTCAGTGCCACGCAGGTAGAAGGGCGAACAGCATTGCTGGCAGCAGCACTGCTGGCAGCAGAAATGCCCAAGGAAGTGCTGGAGGAGCTGATTTTAAACATTCCAGAGGCCTCAGTGGCTGTAACCATCTATACCACAGAGCACGGACAAGGGAGCTATGCCCTCCCCATGCCTGGGTCAGAGTTTGAGAGCCCCCATACAGCCCAGCAAAACCTTCTGGAGGCCACCAACTGCATTCCAACTGACAGAGAACATCACTCTACGAAACATCTTGTGCACGAGCCAAGCTGCAAGATTATTTTTAAAATCCTAAAATATTTTTAGGTTTTCCTCTTCCCCTGTTGAAGCTAACAGTCTGTACAGGAAGACCGAAACAACCGCCTGTACATAAAGCACTGCAGCGCACACAAAGCAAACAACTTACTGCCATTATAATTACCTTAGATGTTATCGGCGGCTCTGTGGAATCCCTTCTGCAGCCCCAGCAGCACCCAGCACGGTGCTGCCTGCACAGAGCCAGGCAGCTCCTTCCCCAAGCACCGGGATCTGCCTCTCCTCTCACAAGGGATTTACTTCTGCAAGGGCTTGAATATTTTGACACAAAGGCAGTTGCTTAACCAAGCACATAAAGCAAAGGGACTCTCAGAGCTTCTACGATTACACCGACGCTTGGAGATTCGCCTGGACGGCGGCCAGAGGCCCCATATCGCGGAGGATCAGACCCAGGACACAACCGGGAGAAGAAACGCCGGGGCTGGAGCGAGGCTGGAGCCGGCTCGGAGCGGGGATGCAGCCGACTTCCTGCTCGCACAGCAGCACGGCTCCTCCTAACCCCTCGCACGCCGCAGCCCTAAGCGTGAATCACCCTGCACCGACCGCTCCCCAACACCCGTGCAATTCACAAGGTTGTTGGGTTGGGGTTTTTTTTTTCTTTCTTTTTTTTTTTTTTTTTTCCCCCTTCAGTATAATTATACAAATTTCAATGCAATTACCTCCCCTGTATTTTGTACATTAAGCAGTAGGCAACCAAAGGAAGAGAGAGACTTTATTTTTTTTGGCTTTGCGTTCCCGAAATAATAGCGGATCGCAGAGCGGCCGCATAGAGAAGGGTTTATCTGCACAGGACACAGGGAGAGCAGATGGAAAATGGGAAGACCCCCAAACCCCCAGGTACCTGCATGGAGGCCCAGCTCCAGCTCAGCCTCTTGCCCTGCCAGAAAGGAAAAGCAAATCAAGCAAATGGTCGGCAGTTACTCAACCCCAAAGCCGGGTCATTAGCCAGATTAAAGTGCCCGAGCTCCGGCCAGCAGCGCGGATAGCAAAGTGCAGTTAAACGGCCCAAATTGGATTACTGCCGCTCCTCGGCCTCCGTGCCAAGTTGGCCGGCGGACGGCGGGAGGCGAGCGGCCGAGGGGAGGCTGGGGAGGAGGCCAGGCCGCCGATTAGACCCACGGATCCCCAGCCCAGCAGCCATAATGCGCTCACACGGTCACTTTCCCCAGCTAAAGCCCTCAGAATGCAAAGCAATCCTCTTGGAAAAGGGGCCCACGCACTCCTCGTGCCCCAGCTCACAAATCCTGCCGGCTGACGCACACCTCACCGTGCAGCAGCCCGTGGGGCTGAGCTCAGCCACCTGCGTGTGTATGTGGGGCTTACTGACTCCATACATGGGCAGCAAGGAGAGGGTTTGCCAAGCTTTGGCTAACGGGAAAAACAACTTCTGGATGTTTTAATGTAGGGTTTGAAATGGTGGCTTTCACGTGGAACAAAGGCTGGAGGCAGAACGATGCTGGGGAAGTGAGACCAAGGAGGGCGCCAGCCAGCTCCCGGCAGGCCCCAGGCACACACAGAGTGCCCAAGGTAGGGAATGCGAGGTGTCTGCCTGAACCTGGCATGAAACCCATGGATACGGCTTCAGGTTCCTCTTCCACAGTGCATGAGAGCCCCCCCAGGACTAAGACTGCGCACAGCCAAGGCTGAGGGTCCAAAGCAGTGCCAGATCTTGCACTTCCATCATGAATCCACAATGGAGTGGGATCTCACAGCACAGCCAGGGCATACCATGAAGAGAAGGAAGGAGGCGGCTCCCCCCCACTTCCCATCAGCCAAGCACATCCTACAGGGCAACTCACTGCCCAGAGCCAGCCCAGGGCTCCCTGAGCCTCTGCACAGCACACACTGCCTAACAACACAGCACAGAGGGGACACTCACAGAGCACAGGGCAGCAAACAAGGTCTCCATAGGCAGAACACGGGCTTGAAGAGAGCCTAGCAATCAGCAAGGACAACATATGTGCCCCATGCCCAGCTCCCCATTGCAGCACAGAGAGGCAGCAGCTCTTCTGCACTGCCAGGGCTGCCTAAGCCATCCTGCTGCCTGGGGACAGGAGTGACGGCAGCACCCTGCACACAGACAAAGCCCAGTGGGATGCAGGTGGATGCTGCGGGCAGCGCTACCCGCTCACAGAAGCCTGGTGGTGCGAGCACTGCAGCACTGGGCTGCTCCACGCACACATCTCAGCGCTGCCTGCCGGCAAACGCTGCAGCTCCTGGGCAGCAACAAAGGCCCCGATAAGCACCGAGCTCAGGGAGCGATGCTTACAAGTCTCCCTCGTTAAGCCCAACCCGAGGTCCCTTCACACAAGGGATGCTGAACACGGCAAACCCTGGGGAGGAACGGCCTGGCCCCGCAGCTCCGTGCCAGCAGCGGTGCAGCTGCCGAAGGAGGGAGCGGCCTGGCGGCACACAGCAGCACGGCTCCGGCACCCGCTGCCATCTCGGCAGCACCCGGCCGAGTTCGGAGGAGTTTGTTTGTGTGTCGCAGGGCCCTCTGCCTTCCTCAGGGCAGCGCTTTGTCTTTGCACAGCGAGCTACGTGCTCCACTCCAAACCTCACGCATGTATAAAATAAAGAAGGGAAACCCTCGAGGCTCACTACAGAAGGGCTCCAGCTGCAAGCGGCCCCAATAAAACCCCACTAACAAACACAACACCAGCAAAACTTGGATTTCCGGAACGCGGCAGAGCACAGATACCAACCATCTCCCATTGGGGACACAGAGCCCAGCCACGGAATGTCACCGCGCAGCTCACGGGGACGCAGCCTGGCACACGCAGACTGCTATTCGCCCATCCATCCCTCCCTCATTCCCCGACCACGGATCCGGAGCCCAAACTTTCGCGCCACCCACACGGCCCCGCACTTCGGCATCCGCTGCCGGCGGCGGCACCCATCCCTCCCTTTCCCTCTCCTCCTTACAACCCCCCCAAGAACGCCCGTACAGCCAGCCGGGCTCAGCCCCGCTGCTCCTCCACCGCATTCGGTCATCGGTGTCTTGAGACAGACATCGCGCCGCTCGCTTTACCCACTGAGTATATACAAAAGACCCTGAGATTGTTCAGGAAGCAATTAGCCGCTGCTCGGAGGAAAACGGTGTTTTCAAATGGATAACCTTTGATGTAGTCAATAGCCTCGTCTCCTCTTCCCCCCCCCTCCCCCTCCCCAATGTCTCACACAAAAGAAACAGAAGAAAAAAAAATCCGGCTGGTAATTGGCTCCGCACGGAGCCGCTCGGCACGAAGCGATCACCGCCCGAGGAGCGGCCCCGCGCCGCGGCTCTGCCCAACTTTTCTCCCCTCCGCGTCCCGCAGCCTACAGCGGGACCGGCAACACCCATCGGCGCGTTCGCAGGTTCTGCTTTCCTGCCGTCCTTCCCGAAGCACGGGGACGGGGGAGCGAACGAGTGAGGTTACTGCCTTTCTTCCCCCATCCATCTCCTCGCTAAGCAGTGACCTTCACGTCCAGCCCCGGCTACACGCCAGCCCCCCGCACCGGAGGCAGAGGAAGGAATCTCCCCTCCGGGAGAACGGAGGAAGGGATTTCGGGATCCATCCCAGCGCAGCGCGGAGCAGCTGCGGATCCCCGCCCGGAGCCGGGCGCCGTGCGCAGGGGGAGCCGGGTCCCCTCCGCCTTCTCCTCCCGCAGCGGCCGCTCCGCACCGCACCCCCTCGGGCTCCGCGCCTCTCCGCCAAACTACGGCGCGACGACGACGACGGCAACCGCTTCCAACGGCGGATCCCGATCACGACGCCGGATGCCCTCAGAGCGGCTCTGCCCGATGGCCAAACGCGCCCGCAGGCTCCGCCCGCAACCCCGCGCCGGCAGCCGGGGCACACCGAGCCCTGCGGCGTGCGGGGCGAGCCCAGCCCGCGCGGTGCCGCGCCCCGAGCCCCGGGCACGTAGCGGCGGTGCGGCACCGAGGGGACCCGCAGCCCCACGCCCGGCCTCGCCGCCCCCCCGCCGCCCCGCCCGGGCGAACCCCGCTTCAGCCGCGGCTTTCTTATTTATTTTTTTTTCCTTTTGCGGGAATACCGCTCCCATCGGATTCCAACCCCGAATGCCGATCGCTCAGCCGGGCGCCTAAAGGCACGCGGCGCGGAGGAAAGTTGCAAGCGGGTTACTCACGGCTCGGCTCCGCGCTCGCCCCAGCCCTGCCTGCCATAACCGCATTCCAGCCGCGCCGCCGCCGGGCCCCGCCGCTGCCTCTTCCTCCGCCTCCTCCTCCTCCTCCTTCTTCGCCGTCGCCTCCTCCGCCTCCTCCTCCTCCTCCTTCGCGCCCTCCCGTCGCCGCCCGGGGCTCCGCGGCTCCGCTCCCACCCGCCCGCCTCGCGCCGCCGCCGCTGCCCCGCATGAATGGGACGGCGGCGCGGGGCCCCGACGGAACGCCGCCCGCCGCGCGCCCCCGCCGCCACGCGCACGCGCACGGCCGCGCCGCCGCCGCTGAAAGGAGGGAGGGGGCAGCACCGCTCCTTTGAGCCTCCAGGGGGCGCCCGCGCCGCTGCGGGGAGGCGAGAGGCGGGAGCTGGCCGGCCACGCCTCCTGCTCCATCTTAAAAGGGCGATGGCTGGTGGGAGGTGGCTTAAAAGGGGCTGTGAGTAGGATGGGGCCTCTTGCAGGGGCACCTCAGGAAAGGCCGCAGATACTCTCGCCACGCCTCCAGCCGGCATAGCGGGGCTCAGCCTGCTGTCCTGTACGCTACAGAGCTCCTCCACCCAAGAAAAGCGCGCTGGGGACAGCAGCACCCCCAGCCCTCCGTGGCCATAGTAGCCCCCAAAGCACCACACGCACCAGTCTGCACAAAACGCATGGGCAGAAGTACACCGATCTGTGCAAAACACTCAGAGAAACAATGGCAAGGAGGGGGACATAGGGGAAACATCCCCCCCGAGCTACATGGAGGTGGGGTGACGCCTTATCCTGTTGCCCATCAGCCACCTCAGGCCCAGCCGCCATCTTGTGCCCCGCCATTACTCTGTGCCCTCACAGGGATGCTCCCTCATGGCCTCTTGCCCCGAGGCCCCGCACACAATCCCTGCTTGCCCAGCCCAGCCCGATCAGCACGGGGGCTGAAGCCTCACACAGCACTGCCGATAAGGGCCGGACTTTGTTCTCAGAGCTGTCAGCTCAGCATCTTTCTGCTGGTGCTGCGTCCGCATAAATTTACCAATGGGAAAAATAGTAAAAGCCATAAAAAAGACAAATGGGTGCCCTGAGTTGATTATTTGTCTTTTTAAAACACGCTCAGTGCCAGCCATTTTTATCACCATCATTCTCTCCTTTCCCTTTCCCTCCCACCAGGCCATGGCTTCCCCATGCCACGCTTCCTCCCCTGCCTGTCCTTGCATGTCTGTGTAAGGCCCTACAGAAAGGATCGACCTCCCTCCCACCGCTCTGGCATCCCTGGGCCAGGATGTGACCTTTTAAAAGGCAAACAGAACTAAATAACGTCTTCATAATCAGGGCTGCACCTCCACTGATTTCACCACAGGCACATAAGTGTTGTGGAGCTGCAGTTCCTACCAGGAGATGGAGGGATGGCCACTGATGCTCACTGCAGCATGGAGCCCACGATCTCCCTCATGCTCGGGGTGCAAACCTGGGAGCCCTCCAACCATAGAAGTCCACAGCCCACCAAGATAGAATCACAAACCTCTAGGATTGTCCAGTCCAACCCCAGCCCACCTCCACCATGCCCACCGACCATGTCCCTCTCAGTGCCACATCTCCACAGCTCTTGAGCACCTCGAGGGATGGTGACTCCACCACCTCCCTGGGCAGTCCTGTACCATTACCACCCTTTCTGGTAAGAAACATTTCCTAGTATCCAGCTTGAAAGATCACAGCCTCCAAACCTAGCCTGCAGGCCATGGAGGTTTCCAGGCACAAGCACTGCAAGGGCAATAAACACAGACAACTTCCCCACCCTGAGTGCAGCCAGCCAAATCTTTATCTCCACCAAACTGCACCACTAAGACAGACTTTGCCCTTCAGACTCAGAGGCACCGATGAAG